AATCTGTGTTGAAATTTCAGGTAGGACTGCATTTAATACACATATGAGAAGGCCTTCAATGAGACTGCATGAATTTTCTCAAATAGATGCTTTAAAAAACTTGTTCTCCTTTAGATTTGAACAATTATTGGTTGGGGGAACCACCCCTGTTGCTTGTATTCCAAAAAAATAAGCTTACAGAAACCTCTAACTTGAGTTGTGTTTATTGCAGTCTAAAATCCGAGATTCTCAGAGAACAAACATCCCCAGGATATTTAACTGAGATGTAAACAAATCAATGAAATCAGGGATATGGTAAACAAAGGGAAACTAAGTCAGTCACCGTTCAGTAAAAATCTCTAAGTGGTCTCTTTGGTGACCAAATAAACCAACACACACAGCACACGCAGTGAGGCTGAGCATATGTCAGAGAGGGAGAGAAATGGAAATACAGTGAAACTGTGCTTAAAACATTGGCTCAGCTGTAAAGGGGCTGCTGAGGAAACTTTTGTTATTGGGTTCCTGACTGTAGAGTTGTGCAGTTATCTGGGGGTTTGTAATTTACTTTACGGTGTCATTAGTTATTACATGGTAAGCTAGTAGTTTTTGGATAGTGGTGTGGATCTTTCAGCTGCTGGTGATTATTCAGGAGTAGTACTAGTAGCTGATAGAGGCCACTGATGAGAGTGGGCTTTAGGAGGCAGGAATTGTTGGACTGTGTAGTTAGCAGTGCTTAGTCAGTGGGCAGTTTAAAGTGTGAGGTTTTTGGCAGCACATGTTTGGTTAGGACAGCGGCCTTTGAGGGTTTTTGCAAAATCAGTCCTCAAGACCAAAAAATACATAAGCTGTTCATGTTGTTGTGGCGTCGGTGGTGAAGAAAAAGCCATTATTTCTACTTGAGAAAATGCTTTCTAATTAAACAAAGTACAAAAGGCTGCTGAATTACAGCCGGAGTAGTGGGGAAGGTCATCACTTCTAGCCATACAAGTAATATCTATGGTACGCACTAAACTCACACAAAATAACTCATGGTATGACACAATAAAACACAGCCAACACGAAAAGACATCTCAAACTAACCACCAACAACACAGACAACAACAAATGCAGAGAACGTGTCAGACGCCACATTATTATAAATGTCAGTATAATTTTAATTAGCCCCAAAGACAGCATCAATCATGAGGTAGCTTCAGCGTAGCAAGTTATTTTTGCCGTGTAGCTAGTAGTGTAGTACTCTGGGTGTCTCTGAGTGGTAGCTTTCATATAGCCCCACTCAACCAACGTTTCTTCTAAAATCAAAGATATTAATAGGGAATTTGTGCCTGCTTTGCTGCAGTAACAGCCTCTACTCTTCTGGTGGGGTACTGATGTTGATGATTAATTCTGAATCACAAACGCCACTCCAGCTCATCACAGAGGTATTCAGTGGAGATCCATCACTCCAGAGAGCACAGTTTCACTGCTCCACTGCTTCCCTCTAAGTAACTCTTGGCATTGGGCATGGTGATCTTAGGCTCCATGCTTCTTTTAAACATCTCCAAAGTTGAGTCTTAGAAGTTGGTTACATTTTCTGTTTCTTATTATGCAAGTAATCCCAATGACAAATTTAGACTCAACAGTCCTAAAACCTTTCATCACATCTCACATGTTCAGTTGCAGTGTTCTACCATCAAGTTCCTTTTTCCTTTCTTTTCTTTTAAATATATAATTTTTGCTCTTTTCCTTAGGTTGAAAAATAAATTAACTGCACATGATCTCTATTTTGATTAAATAAACGAAAAGGAATGGTCTATGACTTATATACATGGTCTTTGGCTTATGTATGATATGTATATATTTAAAGAGAGAGAAAGTACAGTAACTGGTTTCTTGGCTTGCTTCATTCAGGATCTTGCCCAACACTTGTGAAAGTTAATATCTGTGGCTGCTTGGTTTTGGTGGAGTTTGATGGATGCAGTGTGCTCAGTAGTTAGTGGGCAGTTGAAGGTGTGAGATGTTTGGCAGGTGTGGTTGGTAAGAGTGCCGTTAAGGATTTTGTGAAATCATCCATTCTGAGTGTACTGTGTGGTTATAGTAAACACAGGTTTGGTTGTGGCTGTTTTCTGCAATCCTGGTGAAGTTTTGGTGGATGCAGTGTTGAGGATGAATGCCAGGTGGGAGCAGGGGTGAAACGTGGGCGGGTAGGTGGTTATTCAGCTGGCAGAGGTACACATGAAGGCACTGATGGTGGCTGGCAGCTCCAAGAAGCGTGGGAATGGAAAGAGCTTGGGAGGCACTGGGTGGCTTTCCTTGGCTGGCACTGAAGCAGTTTTCAGCAGTTAGAGTTGGAGGCCTCGCAAATGATCAAATTGATTCAGGTTTATTTTGGTAAATAGCAACCATGATGTGTCTGAGAAACAAAGGAAGAGTGTATGGATGGGTGTCAAAAGGTCAGTATAAACTTTGATTTGGTGTTGATTCATATTCTGTCCAAAGTGGGGTCATGCGCTTTAACTTTAAATCCATGGACCAACAGCATCAGACTCCTTTATGAGCAGAACCTTCACTTTTGGGTGTCATTTAAAAAGGCATGTGCCAGACTCTGTTTTTCATCTAGCCTGAAGTAGTGAGAGTGGGAGAGAGTGGGAGAGATAGAGTGTGGAGGAGAGGAAAAAAGAAGGGAAGGGAGGAGGGGAGGATGGATGGATGAGGCCGTGCACTGATGCAGGCCAGCTGGCCACAGCTCTTGGCCGGAGGAGTGAATGCACTGCCTGTTGCAGACACCCAGCTTCAGACACTGCCTCTGACTGACAGCAGCTGGAGTGAAAGAGAGAGAGAGAGAGAGAGAGAGAAACAAGCATGGGAAGAGAGACTGAGAGGAGATAGTGACTTATTTTGAGTGATCTATGTGTGTATTTTTGTTAGTGCTCATACTGAAAAGCTAATTACAACCTACTTAACTCTAAATAATATAAAATTTAGTTGGTGTTTTGTGGTTTTATTGACTAATGAGTAAATTTATAATTGGTAATATTTGGATTGTAGAAGTAGAAAATGCAACCAACTTTTGCAACTGAATTTTGGAGGTGTGGAAAAACATCCCTGCAGATGTCTTTAAAAAACTGAAAGCAAGTCTCCTGAAAAGAATGGAAGCTGTAATAAAAGCAAAATGGACACATTAAATAATGAAAAGTTGATATTATATTGAGTTGTTGAGAGCTGTGGGTAATTCTCTGTTACTTATGTTTTCTGCCTTTTTTCTAATGCTGAAAAGTCAATAACTTGTTCATAATGGTTGTTTGGTTTATTAAATTCTGAACATAAGAGTGATGGATTTCCTGTTTTACTTTTGCTGTTATTATGATTATAGGCCATCTTTGTTGTCTTACTTAAACAAAAAAGAACACGTTTACATTTCTGTTTTTCTTAGTTTCTTTTTACTCTGTTTTTTAGTGGGTCTCAAATCTATTTTTCTGTTAAACCGACTTTACCTGTGCAGTCTAAATGGAAATACTGTATGCACTCCTGTAGTCTCAACACAGTCTAAAAATACTGTTATTTCCAGCACAAGACTAAAAGTCTAAGCAAACGAGCATGGACATAGATGCGCTTTTTTTTTTTTGTTTTGCCTCCATTTGCTGTCAAGCAGATCACACTAGCGGCCACGTTTTGGCAGTGCATCACTGGGTTTGTGGGTTCGTTAATAGTCCTCGGTTGTCTTATAGAGCTGCCCAGAAAAACAGCTCAGGGAGAGAGAGCGCAGGCAGGTAAACACACACCGAACACAGACACTTTGACTTACAACTCAAGAGCAGAGCACTCTCTTAAGTAGACCACACGGCTAAAGCAACAAAAAAGAGACAGAGGGGAAGTGGTGTACGGCCCACAGGGGCCCGTCAGTGCCAGAGCATGCACTGAACAGGGCCCTGCCGGGATGGCCTTCTGAGAGAGTGACGACAGATAGTGGAAGAGTGTGTTTATGCGCATGTAAGAAGCAGTGTAAATAGCAGCGAAGAGCATGTGTATTAGCGTGGCTTTGAGTATAAATATTAGGGAGCGACTCAACTGAAGAATTACAGCCGTATTTTATCCTCAGTTTTATGTGCATTTAAACGGGAAGAAGAGTCCTATTTATTCGCCTATCATGAGTCATGGTTGCACCCTCTGGCAGCTGTGAAGGTTGTTTTGGTCACGCTTCAATAAAAAACAGAGGTTTATGTGTAGCAGCTCAGGTGCAGCCTTATAGCATTCTGACAAAAGGTGCTTTTGATTAGAGAGAAATTATTCTCAGTATTTGCTATGAATCAGACACAATAAACAAAGCCAAACAGGAGATGTTTTCCAGCCTAAATAAGAAATGGGAGAAAAAACCAACATGACATAATTATGCCATATTTTGAGTTTAAAAATAGCATCAATCCATGGAGGCACTATTGATATTTTATCATTTAGATCATATTTTTATGTATGTTAATCCTAAATTGTTTTTTTGCTCCACAAGATGGCACTGAAAAAAACATTTTGTCTTTATTCTGGTGGAACTAAGTCTACTGTCAATGATATCATTATTAAGAATGATTGGATAGCGTAGTGTATAATAGATCGGGAGAGTTGGGTGTAATATCCTGTCAAAGAAGGATCAGGAATACCTTTAAAGCATACTAATACGAGTCACTGGGTATCACTAGAGGTGGAAAATACTTATTTTACTAAGTAATTGTACTTCATTATGATACTTAAGCATTATTTTAGATTTGTACTTTATTATTATTATTATTATTATTATTATTATTATTATTATGAATGCTTGTCTATATTTCTTCACTCAAAAACTTGAAGTGAGATGAACAATGTATATACTTAGTTAGATAAAACAGAATGTTTTCTTTTGAGAATAACTTGCAATCAGAAGTAATAAATCACAATATGTCATATCGTAAGCATATCACAAATGTCTAAAAGTCACATTTGATTTGTGGCTTAAGTATTGTGATAAACTCCCACCACTAATCCTAATGTTTTCTCTACTTTCCCTAAAGAGACTGAAAGCTGCTTTGGCTCACCATCCGGGCCCCATCGCCAATGGCAACATGAACACGATGGGTCACATGATGGAGATGATGTCATCGCGACAGGAGCAGGGCCACCACCACCTGCACTCGCACCCTCACCAGCACATGCAGGCTCCTCCCCATGGCTATCCGCACCACGCCCACCACCACAGCCACGCCCAGAGTGGCCACCACCACCCACAGAGCCACGGGCACCACAACTCTCACCCGGGTCACCTCCACCACGCACATGGGCACCAGACCTCCCCTCACCCACCCATGCACTCCGCTGCCTCTCAGGTACACAGCACAGAAGACACATGGGGAAAATGTGACTGAGCTAAACACCACTTGCCTTCTTGGTAAAGATGTAACTGGGGAAATTGTTGGTTAATGCATTAACTAAAATATGTAACATGTATATAAATATCCTAGTTTAAAAGGCAGTAGACAGTAGCATTTGTTTCACAAAGAAAGGGGATGTAAAAAGACTTTGATGATTTAGAGATCAGTCATATGCAAACTAGCACCTGATAGATTAATTTTTTTAAATATAATTCCGGTTCAAATTTCATGCCATGGGAAACATTTTTGATGTTTTTAAGCATAACTGTAAGAAAAATGAAAGAATTTCAGGTCTTGACCCCTGTGCTGATCTGTTTGCGGAACTTTCCACCTCAGTCCATGTCTTTGTGATTCAGAAGTTCTGCCTGTAGCATATTATTAAACCAAACAAGTGGCCCTGTATCCACACTACCCATCAAAGCCGCTGCATTTTCCATCACCCTAACACAACCTGCAATGATCTGAAGACTGCAAGTACCAGCCACTGCCAGGTCCACGTCAAAGAGTCTTTTTTGTGGCCATGTTGCACTGCTAGCAGGCCTGTTTCACCGGATGTCTGAGGGTGTTAGTGTGAGTGGAGCTGGCCGGTGGAAAAGTGAGGCGTGACACCTCTTTATGAGGGCGGGGCAGCCTGTAAATGAGACTGTTGCTCATATGCACGCGTCCATCACAGGGCCGAGGGGGCACATGAACAGAGCAGATGTTGTTTTAAAGGAACCTCCCAGACAGGCCGCCGTTGGCTGAGAGTGGGGTGGCCCGTCTGCAGAAGTCAGGGGCTGGGGGGGATTTGCTACACTCGATGGGCCGGCTGCCAGGATGTCTGGTACAGAGTGATGGAATTGTGGTGATGGATGGCTGGTTTTATCATATAAAGAGAATTTGTTTTACTCATACAAGAAACAAGAATATTTAATCAATCTTGCTGTTACGTTTGTTATGTATTTTACTGTTGAAAAGTCTTTAATGTTTTTAGTAATTTAAGGTAATTTAGTTGCAGATAACTATTCTAAAATTCCAAAACGTCTGGTGTAACTTCACTCCCTGGGTTATATAATTAATAATTAATAGGAAGCTGTGAAATTCTTTTTACAGACATTTTAGATGTTTATAGAATGATGTACAGAGTTACAGAAGATTGTAAGACTGAGACCGTTATATGGCATTAAGAGTTAATGTCTGGTGAATCAGAAACAGTCTTATGGTCAGGAATGCATTACGTCCAACTTAAAGTTCAAATGTATTGTAATAGATATTTAGTTGAATGTTAGTTAAAGGCAAGGTGAGCATCTACACAGCATAATGTCAACATTACCATCATTATTATTATTATTATTATTATTATTTATTATTGTTATTGCAAATGGACATTACAGTATATTGTTTATTATTTAGTATTTTAAATAAGTTTGTGTTGCTCTTAAAATACAAATAATCAAAATAAAACATAACTGTATGAAAAATAATAAAATTATTAATATAAAAATTATTTCCATACCTTTAAATGGAAGTGTTTATGCCAGTATAACAATTAGTTCTTACACCGTAGATTAGATAGTAGTAGATCTGATTTTAATTCTGATTTGTCTCTGAAGAAGATTCTTATATTCTCTATATATTCTTATATGTCTCTGTTATTATTATTTTACAGTTATCCCCAGCTGCGCAGCAAATGCAGCCAACACAGACTCTGCAGTCTCCGCCACCCAGTGGGGGTCGGCGCAGGCGGGTGGTGGACGAGGACCCTGATGAGCGACGGAGGAAGTTCCTGGAGAGGAACCGTGCAGCCGCTACACGTTGCAGGCAGAAGAGGAAAGTATGGGTGATGTCTCTGGAGAAGAAAGCTGAGGAGCTCACCCAGACCAACATGCAGCTACAGGTACACCTGCTACCTGCTTCATATATAGCAATGCTTTCCAATGCTGGTCCTACAGTACAGTTGTATGCACCCATGTGAACAGTTGAACAGCCCCAGTTAAAATGTTCTGTTGATTTTCTGAGTGAAAAGAAGTTAACACATTCTCTATGGAGAACACTCTTAAATATGGCATTTGGGAAAAATGTGAAAAATGGGAAAAATAAAACATAAAATATAAAATGTGCAATAACTTTTGCACTTCACTTAACTACACTTTACATAATTTTTGCACAAAGGCATTTTACATTTTACTTTTTACATATGTTATATACAAATAAACAGTAACTGTGCATTAAATGTAAGTGTATTCATGTAAAGGGTGTGTTAACTTACTTTCGCTTAAAAAATCAACAAAACATGTAGTTTGACCAGTGGTGGCAGAGCTTTTGGATGCCACATACAAGTTGTTTTTGTAGTGTTTTTTGTAGTGTCTCTTTTAATCTACTATTTTGCTTTAATAGTGATATTACTGTTGTTGTATTTATTTTGTTATGTAGAGAACTTGGTTTAATTTTGTTATGTAGAGAACTTGGTCTAAACTGTGAATTTTGATTTTTATTTGTGTTACACTTTTTTGAACAAACACGCATACCCTACTTACCCTAATAAAACTAATCAGTAAAAACAAAAACTTTCAATCAGAATTCCATTCGAAATGTGAGTGACATTCACTTAGAAACTACTGCATTGCAGTGAATCCCGCAATAATGGCAACATGGTACTTCTTTTATTACTATGAGTTAAAGGGTGCAAAGCCAAAGTTATTTGATGTAATGTTGATGAGGTGTCAGGTAGGTAAGAGGGTTAAGTAGCTGATTTGTTGGATCAGGTGTGTTTGAACTGGGTAAACACCACAATAATCAGGGTAGGGGTACTACCCCAGCACTGGGAACTAATAACCTACATTCTTCTGTTCACCCTCAGCTGGAAAGCCTTCAAGTGCACTTCACTGAGAACACCATTCTTGCTGAAATCTCCCCAGTGAATTCCGCTAAGCCCTTGTATTCCACAACGTATTAGTGTGGGGAAGTAGCCCATAAATGCTGCTGAAGTTAGATAACAGCTGAAGCTACTGTAGACAAAGTGCAGATGGATCTTAGACAGGGCCGGGTCTAGAAGAGGACAGGGCACAGGCTAACCAAGGCCTGCTGGGCTACTAGAGCGACCAGTTGCTGCAGAGAATGAAGTTTGTAGAGCTGTAAAACCACACACCATGGAATCCAAGTCAGTACGCTACAGAGGCTGTGACACAATAGCCAGATACAATTCTGTTTACAGTTGAACATTTAGCACAAGTGTACTTTTTATTTGGAATTTGCAAAAAGAAAAAAAAATAGTTGGTTTAGCATGAGGTCAACTTTGGTTCAAACTGCAAGAAATATTAATCCATTGATATTTATGCTTTGGTCCTCTTCAATTAGAATGTCATTCATTATTATGATTTGTAAAAATACATTTGGTTTATATTCTGTACTAACAGATTTGAATCTTCATTTTTGATGTTGTTTTGATGTCAAAAAATGACAAAAAAATTACTTGGTAAAATTGTATATTTTCCTCTCACAAAACAAGATTGTATGCACACCAGTAACATGTCCAATTCAAAACATCTTCTCTTTTCTACATAGGTACACAAATGTGATACTAATTGAAAGTTAGAATTCACACTTTCAACACAATGTCTCCCCTTGTTTTAATGAGCCACAATTGAGAAATAATTCAACAAAATGTAAGACATGGCATATATACACCTTAGGGGAGTGAGGAGGATTAATGAGGCCATGACAGGATCTTACTGCTTGGTTAGAAAATCCCTTCCACATGCTAGTCAACACTACTTCCTGGGGAAAAAATGACCATTGTTGAACTCCCCTCCAACTAAGATAACCACTCATAAGAGTCAACTCTTGAGTCACTATGCTCTTTTTTCTCACTTGCTGTCTTCACAACACCATCCTCGTGCTTGTTATTCTTTGTTATCTAAAGTTTCCACAGACAATATGAAAAAAACATGTTTAAGTTGTTTGTTTTCCTTCATCTCTGCATAGTTGAGTGGGGTGTGACAAAAATACGTTCCCAAACACCCTGGCACTCCCATAGAAGTCCATTGTTTAGGCTTGCTTTGGTTTTCACAAAGTATTCACTGTACACCGGCTCTCCAATATGTGGCGGCTGTCAAACGGAGGATTTCTTTCAGCCAAAGATCCCTGAAGTGGTTCTGTGTCTTCATAATCCAACCACTAAAGATGTTCTTGAACGTCAGATACTCAGATTTTTTGCTTGATAAGACGCCGGCGCTGGCCGCAGCCGTAATTGCAGCCAGTGTTCTGTATGCTCATTATGAGGTTTTGTAATGAGACTCATAACTACAGACAGTCTGGCTTTTTATGTGTGTCTGCTGTGAACTTTGCTAGCCACCCACAGAATTTCATTTTCTAGACTTTGTTTATGATGATTATCGTGGGAAAATGTTAAAGCTTTTCTAGTAAGTGCAAGACAATCATTATTTTAGATTTCATGTATCTACAGGTGCAGTATGCGGTAGGCTGAGAATTTCTTAATACATTTTGTGGCAAAATTTTAATATATTAATTTATTTACTTATTTATTTTTCTTTGATATGGATGTACTGTGCACGTGTGATGAATATCCACTAATAGATGCAGATGGGATTTTATTGCTGTACACTACTGTTCAAAAGTTTGAAATCATTGTTTTTAATAACCGATTAGGTTGCAGATAAATGTATTAAATGATTCTAATATGCAAGTCCTGTGTAATTTCACAGGTTTAAAATAATTCATAAGTCACTGGGAAGCTATAAAAGACTAAATGAAAATAAAACTTAGATGTGTCCAGAATAATGAACAGAGCTAAAGATGAATCTAAAGTGACTGAGAGTGGAGATCAAATCTCAAAGCAGAAAACTTGACGAAGAAATCATGTGAACAAATCATTTATTATAGATACAAATAAAGTATGTTTTGTTTGTAATGCTTAAATGCACATTGTATAACTATTATTATTGTATATAAAATACAAAAAATTTAATTTCTTAAACTGTGATGTATATGAATAAACAAGTACATATCTCCTTTTTGCAATATGCTGTAGTATATCTGTACCTAACACACCAGCACACTCTTTATAACAGATGTCCTTAAATGTCCTTTCTGAAGAGTGCGAGAGATGTCTGAAGTGGCTTTTGATGTTCATGTTTTTGGCAGAATGAGGTGACCATGCTGAAGAACGAGGTGACCCAGCTCAAGCAGCTTCTTCTGACCCACAAAGACTGTCCCATCACGGCCATGCAGAAAGAGTCGCAAGGTTACCTCAGTGAGTCCAGCACCTCTCAGACACACTCACACTTGGCCAGAGGGGACACTACTTAATGGGTGATGTATATTGTTGAGTCTATTTTTGGTACAGACACATGCACATGCAGGGACGCACCCAGTGATATGGATACTAGTGACATTTCCTCATGTATGCAGGCAACCCCTCCCTGCTTTTATTCTGAATGGAATAACATGCTATTTTTCTCAATCTGGGAAAGACCCCATTACGTCTGCAGTCTGCGCAGAAAGAAAAAACAGAAATATAAGAAACTACGGCTATTTTAAGGCAAAGGTACACAAAGTCAGTGTTGCTTAGATATGATGGTTTGGCATTTACTGTGAAGGGAACTCTCACTGACGTCTCATTTTTTAAACCATGGCAGCCCTAATAGGCTTAGATTTCCCAAGGGATGTATCATTATCCCACCAGTATTAAGAAGAATCCACTAAAGAATCCCACCGATACTTTGGATTTAAATATATTTCTTTCCATATAAGCTATTTAATCTGTAATGTATTTGATTGATTTAGACAGACTAAACACCCTTAAATTAAGCAGTTCAACAAAATCATATCGTTCCAGTGATACACAAAGTCAAAAATTTAATATGAATTTTGCTGTTTTTTAATAATATGTGAAAGTGAATGTGAAAATACAGAAAAGGACAGTTCATACTGTGGAATACAGTAATATAATGTAAACGTAAAAAGCATTTTGCTGTTAATTTTGCTGTCAGTTGCTGTTAATTATCAGTATTCATTTGTAATTTTGTTTTTCTACATTACTTAGGAAGCGCATATAAATTATCCGTGTATGGCTCAAAAACAACATTGATTTCTCCAATATGTCACAATAGTTAAAAATTAAACAGGGTTTAATAGGATGTATTATTTAATTATTAAATTTTACAGATGACAGCCAACCCATTAAATACAAATAAATAAAAATCTGTTCATAGAATAAAGTTTTCTGGACGAGTGGTGTTTATGTGCTTACACTGCTGCTGATGTTATTCAGCTACTCCTTCAAATGTTTCTGTACATTCATTTGGACAAATCACATGTTAGCACATTTACCACTGAAGAGCTATTACAGCTAATTGCTGTCTATATAAATTTGTTTATTTTTCATGTGTTAACATAGTGAGTAACAATAAACTTGCACAGCTACATTTTTACAAAAGGAACCACAAAGGCTTCCTTTTTAAGTGACTTTTATAACAATTTAAGGGTTCCTCCTAGAACCTTTACATTATGTCGAGGTTCTTTGAATTTAAAAAAGGCTAGCAGATCCCCTTTAACAATATAGTTGTCTGAAGAATCATACTGTACATTCAAAGGGTTTTTTTGGGAACTAAGTGTGGTACTTCTGTGGCTTTGAGCAAAGAACACTTTTTGTCCCCTCTACTTTTGAGAGTGTATTCAGTTATAAAACAGATCATTCACAACAAATGTTTATTTCAGTGTCAGTTTGCAGAAATACCACATAGAATAACAGTCAGTATCATTAAAATAACATTAAAATAACACGTACACCAGGAGTACACTCCTGAGCCGTGCAAGTGTCTAAAGATTCACTCCCATCATTGTGAGTTTGTGAGTTTGAATCCCAGCAATGCCGTCTGTGACCATGAGCCAATGTTATCACGTGTTTACAGCATAGTGCAAAATGCGGAGGTTTTCTGCTGCAACTTTAACAGTGTAGCACATTGAAATTGAATCCTGGAAGAGGTAACTCCAAATCACGAAAAAGGTGGTCTTGGCTTTTTTGTATGTGTAAGCATAGAATTCTGGACTGGACCAAACTAACGATTTTCTAATTAGAGGAAATTATTATTATCATTTGTTTATTTTATTATGTTGTGAGCTCAGGATTTACACCCGTGGTGATCATACACATACATGTGCACACATGGACATAATGTAATAACTAATATATCCTGCTGTTTCTCAGGTCCAGAGAGCAGTCCGGCAGGAAGTCCCACTCCTGTGACCCAGCAGCAGGTCATCCAGCACAACACCATCACCACCTCCAGCACGGCGCCCAATCACCGCACAGACATCAACCCCATCCACTAGAGACAGGCCACGACCTGGACAAGCCCCAGAAGTGGACACTCTTAACAGCTGCACCATGAGCTCCACAAACAGACGCACAGCTCTGTGCCTCTGCGGCAACTCTTTCTTCCATATGTGTTTAGTACGTGTAAAATCTCATGTTTCATTTTTGTCCTTTTTTTTATCATTTGGAACAAGCTTCCACATTCATCCAGTGCTGAGCTGGTAGCACGACTTGCGACATGTTCACCCATTAGGTACGGAGTGGAGAGGTTGCCGTGGTTTCACAGAAGAGGATGGAGCTCAGAGGCTCCTGCATTTCTGTATGTTTTACTGATTCACTGACTGGCCCTTTGTCAAATACTACTGCCTTCACACTTATGCAACACAGTCTGATTGTAGCCATGATGTGTGCTATCTCTTTGCTCTGAACTGTAATGCCAAAACAAAGCTGTTTCTTCTGGTCTTTTCTACTAAGGATTCATAATAATTATTCTTCTATCCCCTTTTTGATCTTTTCTTCGATCCCCCTTCTGATCTCCAAAGCGATGAGCTAAGAAAGTTGCCTGATTAATAAGCCATTATGTATTGATAATAATGCTGGATGGAAGCAATATACATCTCTCTGACGTATGCTCAACATTGTGCCTGTCTTTACATTTCCCAGAATTAATTAATCATCTCACTGCAGTGCTTTTTCTCTTACTTAACTGTTGTTTGGCTCTGCTGCTTTCAGCTTTGATAAGTAATGTGTTAAAGCAGCAAGCCTCCATCATTTAAAAGGGATTTCTTCATAGGCACGACTTCTCTGTTTATTAACCTGGTATGATCATTCATTCATATGAAGTAGTGAGTGAGTCTGAGCTCTTGCCTCGTTGATCATGCGTCAGATTTCTGGTCATGCCCAGAGTCGATGAATCTCATTCCCTGCTCTAGCCGTATGCCCCCTGGAGACACCTCTGCTTTCTTCTAGGTAAGAGGTTCTTAATCCAGTATTCCTGGAGTTTCATTTTAGCTTCCCCTGATCCAACCAATGAACTAATTAACGTGCCCTTCTGAAGTAAACTTAGAGCAGGCAAAGCTCTAGAACATTTAGAGCAGTGGTACTCCAGGACCAGGACTGAGAACCTTTGTAGCAGACCACTGCCATTCATGGCCAGGAGGCTGTAAGTACTCACTGGGGATAAATGTGGGCAAAAACAACTACATTTGTTTTTATCCAATCCATAGGTAAATGTAGAATTATGAGTCTTACCTAAGGACTCTTTTTTTCTATAGAGTGGTGTGGTTGCCTGAGTGGGGAATCGAACCCAGGTAGTGCTGCCCACTACACCATACTAATCACAGCGTAGGACTAATAAGCCCTTCCCTTGATATTAGTGAGAAAAGTGAGCATGGGCCAAGATATGAAGGCTTTCTCTATAGTAAGAAAATTATATCCAGCAATCAACCTCTGTCTAGGTCATCTTTCTGTTGGTGTAACTCCACTAAACACTCTACAAAATCTATGTATGGATTTACAGCTCTGAGCATGGCCAGAAGAGTCTGTTTCTGAGCTGCCCATTCCTGGACCTGCACCACCATCCAACCTGGCCTGAATGCCACTTAGAGAATGTGGGGAAACCTTAATGAACACAAAGGCCAAGCAGTTTGTTCAGTTACCTACTTTGTCTTCAGTTTAAGAGTCTCCCTCTGGCCATCATTCAGTATTTGACCCCAAAAGATGCTGATAACGCTGGTGTCTGGATTGTGACACCTGGGTGTGCAGGAAAGCGCATGAGCAGCTCTGCCTTACATGGACCAAGCAAAACCTCAGTAGAAGTCTAAAGAAGATTCTGTAGGACTCTATAGCAGATTCTGTAGAGGTCTATGAGAGGTTCTGGAAATGTGCTGCTGCACTGGAAATCTTTGTATAGCTAGCAGCCCATTCTTACTATAAGGACATTCCAATATCAGACTTTTTTGACCTTTGTGTTCTTGTTTTGGGATGTTTGTGCAAAGGACCTCTTTACCTCAGGATTGCATAGTCAAAGACCCGTAGCTGGCCACCGTGGCTTTAAGTGGCTGAGTAGGGCTTGAAGCCCTGATGAGGTCGCATCTACTAGCTGGCTCCCTTTAACTTTGACTTATAATCTAGTGGTTTAGTTCAGTTGTCTGCCTCTAAAAGAATGTAGCATTTTACTATTTCTAAATAGGTACCTGTTTATACTATGCTTTCCAAATCTCACAACGTGCCTGAACTATTCTGTGTCTTACTCATATACAGAAGAATGTCAGTCATTATTAACACATTAATGCATTATTCTGTTTATTATTTTCAAATCAGGTAGTAGTGATGAAGCTTTGAGACATTTTTACGCTCTTTTGTAAATGTTTAGACTAATTGCATGGTTGCATTGAGGTTCAGGGATTCATTTTGGTGTTGATGGACATTGGCTTATATCTCCAGACCATGGAGGCCTGTGATGAGAGCACCTTGATCTTCTTCGAGTTTTCTCAGGCTTCCATGGCCAAACATGGACTGAGACTTGTTTGCGCATGTAAGGAGAAGAAACCCACCAAAATACCCCCCCACCCAGCACGAAAAAGGGCCTTTCTTCCAGCAGCTAAGCTCCAAACTCTGTTCCACGCATCTATCAGATCCCTGAGGACAATTCGCCCCTCCTAAACGGAACATATTGATTCCCTTTGCCTTTCGACGCAGCACTATGTCCGGAACGGGAGCATGCTAAACAACCTCCACATTGAGAGGAGAAATCATGTAGCTGTCTATGCACTTTTGACCTCTGTGAGTCCAGCAGAGGATGGAATAGCCATATTGAAGACTCAGCGATTATTCTGTTCCCACACCAGCGAGAGACAGCCACTGTCATCCTCTGGAAACAATGGCACCAGAGCCTTTTGTAGCCACCCCCCCCTCCAACCCTCTCAAAATAAATGAAATGATCCTTAATGGGTCATCCTACTAGAACAAAAGGGAACATCCAGCTTGCTTCTCATCCTTCAGCCTCACATCTTGGAACAGACTGGCTCAGACAGATGCTTATAGCTTTAAAACATTTCAGATGTCTTTGTATCTGCAAAACTTTGTAGGTAACTTGTTTTTTATTCACACTGTGAATGTAGCTGATGGTAATAAGGTGAAAACAGAACAGAGTTTTGTATTGAGTGTTAAACCACATCCACTATATTTGATCAGTTGCTGCAGTTTCCCCAATCTAAACATTAAACTATGTAGCTTAAACAAGCACCTGCCACATGTAGCTTTGAAATAAGGGGGTTTGGGTTTCTTTTTTGTGGTTATGGTTTGTTACGGCTGAGTGGGAACCTGCTAAGAGTACGTTGGTGTCATCTCAGTGTGATTTTCATTACTGCACTCTAATTTCTGGATAGCAAGCCAGTGAGCTAGCCAGTTGGCCACTATTGCTATTCTATGCCAGAATAAAAAATAAATGTGATACTTGTGCAAAATTCTCACTCTTTACCTTCACATTCTCCAGAATGTTAAACATTGCAGGCTTTACTGGAGATTGAAATGGGTCTCTATGGAGGACCATATGGTTGTTGTTGGATACAATTAGCACTGCTTGGATCTCAAGCTATCCTGGAGTAGCAAAGTTAAACAACCATCAGAAGTCCTGCCATATTTTGTCTTCGTCTTTTCTTTGCAAACGACACCGGATCGGGTTAACGTCGGAGGCAGAGAGCAAACATTCAACTGGAATAATCTGTAACAGTGCTCTCAGAAAAAAATACATGTTTAATCTCAACTCCGGTTTAACAGCAGGACATTGGTCTTTTTTAATATAGGCAGATAGATTTGTCTTTTTGTATTTGCATTCTGAGGCAACAGAGGGAAAACTGTGTGCAAGTATGCTTGCGTTTATGTGTGCATGTGTGCGCGTGTTACTTTTTTTGTGAGGTGGTGGACTGAGTACACATTAATAAAAGTATAAATGTATCATTTGAAACATAAAACTATAAATATTGTATAGATTCTCATTAATTTCTGTAATCTTGCTCATGTAATGCAACCACCTTTCTTTTCGAAAGGAGTAAATGTTTGGTACATGTTTGTAAATAATGTTCGCGTAGCACTTGCAGTCTTCAAATGTACGTCTGTTCATTTCTGCGCTTAAACCTTCATTGTTTATTACACATCATGAATTCAAACAAGCTTGCATAACTTTGTACATTTTATATATGTTCATTAATGCCTTGAATGTTTGTGTTTGTTCATTTGTTTGTTTATGCATATGTACAGATGTGAGATCACAGCAGCTATATTACAGTATGGAAATAAAGCACTTGTTCGGTAACAATGTGAGCTCATTGAGTTTCATTTATTGGAGAAGGCTCTAAATAGAGATACATTCATCACCTTGTTTATTATCATGCATTGCTACGTTATTTATTACTGTGTAGTGTTTCCTCAATAGTATATAACTGTTATTTGTGTAAGCAATTTAAAAAAAAAAGTTTTTTCCAAATGAAAACTTATAGAAATTTAGCTCTTATTTTAACCATATGCATAATTAAAATATAGTAATTATCTGTCATATAATTGTCTTTTTTTTCAGTAATTTTTAGAAATAAACTTTGATGATTGTTTAACATGTGTTAAAGAACATTCACAAGAACATGATGGAGCTTCATCCATTAACCTTGGAGTGATCCTTATTATCCAACATCAGTACCTGACCTCACTAATTCTCCTGTGACTAAATGCAGTCAAATATAGATTGTAACTATATTTGACAATATTTATCAACTTTATTTATAATTCACCACCCAAAGCATACACATACTTTGAAACCTGCTGATTCCACAAAACCCGGGAACATAACATTGTAGTGTAGTCTACAAGATTATGGATAGTCTTGGAGTTTGTCATTATTGGGCATTTTTTTGTTTGCTTGTTGTGTTTGTTCTTTCTGATGGTGCTCCATCACTCCACAGTGTTCTTGTGAGACATTCTTAAGCTCATGTTATGTAATCCTCATAGTTTATTAGTGACACGTTCATCAGAGATCTGAAAGAATGTGTGGAATGAAGGTTTCTTTATGAAGCTCGAAGCTTTGACAGTATTCTTGTTCAGGTCCTGCTGCAGGGACTGTGGGTCTATAAAAGCAGGTATGTCAACGCACTCAACTATGTGTTTCTACAGAACTCAGCCTGTGTATTAGTTTATTATTATTATTATTTATCATGTAATATAATGTTTTCTTTTTTTATCTTGTCATGAACAAAAACAAACACGGCAGCTGGCGAGATAGACACTCCCTGCCTCAAAGTCAAATCAAACCCTGTTTCTGAATGATCCTGTATTTATTTCAGAAATGTTTGTATGCTTGTCTGCATAGAAGGTCCTTTGTAAAAAAGGGAATAATACAAAAGGGATTTCTACGTACACAATCTTTGAGATCAATTGTAATGTCCAGTAATCTGGATGTTTGGAATAAGTGTAGTAAATTATGCTTTGATTATAATAATACACTTCTGCATTACAAAACAATCATTCAAGATTTTTGTTTATTTTATTAAAAGTGGAATCTTATGTTTATTTAGTGACAGTTGATTGTGTTGTATACATTTGGGAATAATATTGTTTTTTAGTGATTTCAGTGGATATAACTGTCCAGTATACTGGACACTGGAATTAGGCTCATTAAATTAGTAACATTTTGAAAGATATTTATTATCATTGGGATAACAGACCTAAAAGAAACTCTTAACACTCTCTGTGTTTCAGTAATGTTATTTCTGTCTATGACACTGGGCTAGCATATACATGTACATTACATTTCAATCTATATAATATAAAATATATATTATGTAATGTTTTCTGACTTCTTTTCATCAATGACCTTGATTGTTTCAATTGCTTTTTATTATTATGGTGTGAGAATTATTAAGAAAATCATTTAATAATTTAGGAGCCAATTATGCAGGTTGAGACATTAGAGACATTTTCATGCAGCTGTACTAACAGTTAACACAGAAAAGTTCACTGATTGCTTTGTGTCTTGTGTTGGTGGTAATAAACATTTTCAGTTTTCAAGAACTCTCACATTTCACGCACTTAAGTCCAAATATCCAGTGTACTAGACACTGAATATTATGTTTCCCAGAAAAAATAAATAAATAAATAAAGTCATGCATTATATTATTAAGTATGCAGCAGAGAACATGTTTCTTAATAAAAGTTTATGTACTTTTAGATTGCCCAGTGGACAATTTGGACTGAGGAGGATATAAATACAAGTAATATGAACAAAATGTAACATTAAACAAAGACATTTGTTATTTATTTGTAATTCCTACACTTCAAAAGCAATAGTTTTTTTTGTTGAATTTTTATTTTTATTTCTTTATTTATTTATTTTTGCGTACACAGGAGTTACTGATTTACAGAGTTTAAATGCTCTAGTTTTTAGGATCCATCCACACAGTGGCTCATCATCTGCCTGCTTTGTAATTATTATTTTACTGTGTATTATTGCCCCCTGCAGGAAAAACAGGGGAAATGCAATGAATTATTTGGCTTAAAAACTGACACATTTAAAAGGTTTTAAGTTTACTTAAGAAGGTGAAAAATCAATGTACACACAAATTTACAGCTTTTCTCTTCACCCTAAATGATGATTAGCAGAGACATGTTTTGTAGTTAGATTCTGCTTCTTTAGTTTTGTACAGAAACTAATGTAGCCTAACACGCAATTAAATCGCATTACCACCACCACCACTCCAAAAAATACATAAATAAACTTGCGTAGATGGAAAATATTGAAAATTGAAAATACTCATTGAAAAAACACATTCATTAAATATTTTACTTCAGAATATGTAACAAATGTTACCACATCTGATAAATTAAGGACAGGAAATTAGCTACTTTTCAAATTGTTTGCTCCTCCTTTTACCCTGTTTTTGTATTATAATACTTTATACTAACAATGTTTACTATTCGGTGTCAACCAGAGGAGGATGGGTTCCCCTTCTGAGTCATGGTTCCTCTCAAGGTTTCTTCCTGTTTCTCTTAGGGAGTTTTCCTTGCCACTGTCGCCACTGGCTTGCTCATGGGGGCTTGGACCCGGATTTCTTTTTGTAATGCTCATTTCCTTGTAAAGCTGCTTTGTGACAACACCTGTTGTAAAAAGCGCTATATGAATAAACTTTACTTACTTACTTACTTACTTTTGACAACCTTTTAAATTCAAACAGAAACAGTGAAAGGTAATGAATAAAGTAGAGTTACAGACTCACTTTTACCCATTAACTGAATAGGAAGTCTACAGTTCCAGTTCAGGTTTTGGCACAGCTTAGGATCTACTCTGAGAGACTGCGAGTAACTGCACTGAACCACTAGATGGCAGCACATTATGGCTTAACTACCACTGCTTCCTCTGTTGAACAAAATGTAGTTTTAATGCAGCTATACTGGCTCTGGCAGACCTCATTTGTGCATGCAGACCTTATTTGTGAGGTCCACGTGGACATTTTTCATTTTGGGATTCAAAGTTGTGCTCACTTGTGTCTCTACACTCGGTAAAACCTGCATCGAGGCAGACTCCATTTGCAATACCTCAAAGACTGGATCAGTGGACTTGTTTGTAGTTGCCTGACCAGTATAGCAGAGAAGAGGATATTTAAGGGAGCTCAAATGCACATCTTTCTTAATGTACACTGTCAATGCACAGCATATTGAACTATAGAGAGCTGTTACTGATGCAACAATTGCAATTAGCTTACTTAAAATTAGAGCATGACTGATAACAATTTTAATACAAATGTAACAGGTGCAACACACGCATATGTGACACCTGTCATTATGTGATGTCATCAGATTCCGTCCCAAATGCACACTTCTGAACCTAGTAGAGGACTCTTGCCCCAAAGCACTGGTATAGAGTAGGACTTTCTGAAATACTATTTTGGCATAATAATGCAATTAAACTCTAATCCTTGTGTCAGGATTCAACCTTTTTACCTGAAAAACACCACGTGGGAGCTTAAATCAAAGGCACACAGCATGTTTTAGTTAAAAGCTAGCTTTAATCAAAACAAGTACAACAAAAACAAAATCTGTATATTATCTGGAATCATGATTACTGTATCAATAAGTTGCCAAATATACATACACCATACTCTGATTCATTCAGTGGCAGTTATCAGTCACAGTCACTGCTGCAAAACAATCCCAGACAGGGTGATTAAAACATCCAAAGTCTATGTGGAGCGCATCAGACAGACGAAAATCCCTTTGTGGACAGGAATCTGTCAATCATGTCAAAAGACCTCTCTGGCTGGTCATAAGGCAAAATGTGTCCCCCACCTCTAACAATTACCTAGAAAAAAAAGAAACAGGCATATGAGACCTGAGATATTCAAGCTTGTCAATCCACTAAGCATAAATGGAAGGCACAAACACAAGGATATAACTAAATAAAATTACACTGACAACATTAAAGTTGTTATGCAAATTTATGAATGTTTAAAATCATATCAGTTTTCATTTCCTTAATCTAGTGCTTGAATTACATGCATTGTGGAAAGAAAAAAAAGGATTATCTGGATGTTGAATTTTTTCATGTGATTAAAAAATTGTGATGTAGAACCGCAAAAAAAAAATTGTGACAAGCAGTCGACATTGTATTTAATGTTAAATGAAATGGCAACAACTAAATGAAACTACACGTGAAATTTTTATAAACAAAAGATACTTTTGTACAGTGTACAAGTTGTCAAATCACATGGCCTAAAATGCATGGATGAATCACTGTATAAACTGAGCCATCAAATACAGATCACACCTCATGCTAGCTCCACACAATAAAATAAACCTTCTCCATTTCCATTTTTATTAAAAATAATTTAAAATATTTATCACTGAGGTATTCAAACACTAAGTACTATGCGATTTCACAATGATGTGTTGTCATTTTTGCATCATAATACAGCACATTTTTGAAACAGAACTAGAAAATAAATAAATAATAAATACATTTTCTTAGAAGACAAACAATATAAACAATATCTATATAAAAGTAAATATAAACAGCATTAAATGAAAGGAGCATTACATGTTCATTTACAATCTGATCTTGTGTTTCTATATAGAGTGTGGATTTCACCTTCTGGCTGAAATGAGTGTGAGAAGGGATTGTCTCAATGACTCCAAGCAAACCATGGAATCTAGACAGACTCTAGACGGAGGTGCAGATCGGCTGCTATCAACAGAGGGAGTTATTTGTTTCGGCCATTTAGAATCAGCACTTAACAGCTGCTTGAATCCTGCGAGGGGAAGTAGCTGCTTGGT